GCGCTTCGACACCCAACTCATTTGACTCAAACACATTTCTCATTCATGTTAGTGAGTCCCCGGGAAAGAATGCGCCCGTGCTCCCCCAGAGACGAGGGTGTCAGTGCAACCAGTTGGGGACATAAAATCGCCACTGCTTGCTGCGTGCTGTCCGAACCCTACTTGATGGTAGAAGTCAGTGAATAATCATGCACACACAAACAGAAAAAAGGCATCAGCATTGGTGGCACATCGGAAGTGTGGTTACCCAATTCGGGGTCGAAACGAATCCAAATGATCCATATTGATGCGTGTGGACATTCGTGGAACCAATAACAATCTCAGACCATATGGTTTGACTCTCTCGTTGACAAGGAACGCTCAGAACGCATGGGAACCCGTTTCCCGTATGACCGCTATTACCTCTTTCAAAAGACCACCTCTTCAAATCCCAGTATTAAGGGCTATGTACCAACCCTGCCAACAGAACAGCGTGTCAAAGACGCCTCTCACAAACAACTCTAACATGCAATCAACAGAATGCTAAAACGAGATATACTCATTACCTGTGGTTGGAGTGCATCCGCACACAACAGGTCGTAGATAAATTCCGCTTTGGTCGAGTTTGCCTCCTTTAATCTAACACTTTCCACCAGACACCACACTTTCCAGATTGCAGAAAGCACCTTTCGATATGATACCCTAACGACGGCAGAATAGGATAAGCGAATTCGAAGATCCCGTTGAGAGGCGTCCGTTGTGGACTGTTGAGCATGCTGTGACACTCCGAATGGCCAAGCCAACGGAACGGACCACATACTGGTGCCTACTCGCCTCAAGCTACATCCAGTAACGCGTTATAAGGACTGTCCATCGGAGATTTGAACTACCAACGTTGGTCATTCAAAAATATTACCAACATTCGTAAACACCATCGCTGTGTATATGGCTGCGAACGCTCCGGTAGTCGGGTCAGTAGATGTAAAGTGGAGTACTTTGGGAACGTCCACAAAAGTAGCTGCATTGCAGGAACTGAAGACGACGTTCCGATAACGGGGGGAATGGGAATCAGAAAATACGTAGCCGCTCTCTACCAAAGCATGTGAAGCAAGATTCTGTCGGACATCGAACTTTCGCACCCAAGGGAGAGAAGCTACTTGTTCTACCAGAAACAATCGGAAAGGATATGAGAAATTGCAGACAACATGGAAGCTGCCAGCATTGTTTTTGACTTATGAAAGCTCTTCTCAAGTATTTGGATGATCTTGGGCAAAAGGACGCCCAACTTCCTACAACGCCTTCGGTAGGGGGAGGGTGTTTTGGGTTATGACTGGTCATCCTTCCCTTGCACCTTAAGAAACTTTCTTATGCAACCAAGTGTCTCAAGTAGGTTCTGATGAGGAAGCCTTACTCAACGCCTTCATGTAGTGCGAGTGTTTTGACTCCGAAATGAGAGGGAGAAAAGTCAATATTTTCGGCTACAATTGAGTGGGTAAACCATTGACGGTTCAACCAAGGGAGTTCGCTAAAGGCCCTGATTTCAAACCAACCAAGAATGGGTGTAAGAAACACACCCAAGCCTTCCTAGTTCTGGCCATGGTCACTGGATTGATTGAGTATCGAGGTTTATTCAGCACCTTAGACGTTTGATCTCGTCCAAAGGGCGTGTGATCCGACGTACTGGACAACGGCCCTTAATTGCGATTTTCAAACAACGCCCCGCTGTCTCGCGGATTAGACAGTAGTTAGCTCAACACTATGGTTGTGGATCCCCCAAGAAAATTCAACCTCTTTGGCCTGAGCAACCTGGAAGTATTCCACCAAAGAGCAAATCATGAAATGTTGAATCTGTTTTACCTGTTCCCCAGCATTCCGGGGTTCCGTCGGTCTCGATCGCTTATTCATCGCATTTATTAACCAGACTTTAATCTATGGTAGATTTCCTCACGTGAGCACGTTCTTTAAGCCCACATATTGACCACTACTTCGATTTTTTGTCTACCTGTACCTCACCTCCTCTTTATCGACACCCACTGCTAGTTCATGTTTGATCATGTGACACTTTCGATTGCCCCTTCACATGCACGCATACCTTAACGTCCACGCGCACACACACAACCCGGAATATCCGCGTCGAACTTTGATTAATTACTATTTGGCCCAATCATAGTTGTCCATCGAATCAGTTACGAAACCACGTTCGCCTTTCACCTTTCATTGGTGTTCGTTTCTCATCACGGAGTCATGACCCGTGTTTGGCTACTCAGCCGTTGCTTGCGAACCTCAATCGAGTTGAACATTTGTACGTTCGGTGAATCGCCTTGGATGCGCCATGAATTGAGGTGTGTTTATATCTTAATTTATTTACGTGTGCTTATCATAGAAAGGTTTTCAATAAATATCTCAGATTTGCTGAATCCGCCTTCTGAGGCTTGCGCGTATCTCAACTTGTCTCGAGATCCCGTCGTATTCTACATGGACTGATTTAGTTGTTAAAGATTTTTTCTAATGTGATTTGTTTGGTGCACAGTCTGGACTCATACGAATATAAGTATTTGTACAATACTAAGCAAAGTAGCTCAATTCATTAATGAAACAGTACGGGAAATAGAAATAAGCGTAGAAAATTTCGATTAATCGCTAAATATCCACCAAAGCAGCCAAAGAACCACATTGGCTGTGGCCAGCAACTGCGATGCATCCGCAAAAGAAGAAATCATCACCGTCACACTAGCGCTGAAGGTTTTCGAGAGAACCGTGCACCTCCGAATGGTTGACACTAACCGCCCCGCTACATTCCCGGTTTCCAATCATGTGGGAAATTAAGATCTTCCCACAGAATTTTACCACTAATATTCTGCTCCCCATCCTTAAAAAGGCGATAGAACAGTCTGCAGCAACGATAAGAGGGATAAGCCTGATCAATATTGTCAGCAAAACCGCATCATATCGACCAGACCCGGGAACGAGTCCATGCTTATGAGGAGGAATGGACCAAAATAAAACTGAACTGCAGAATTCGACACAGTTGCTCACTTTCAACAGTATTTTTAAACTGCTCATCAAGTGGGTAATGGAACGGGCTCTAGACAATTACCGTTGGTCCAAATCTATGGATTGCCAACCTCGACTTTGCTGACGACAATCTAGTACCAGATATATAACAACGACCTTACAACGAATACTTAGTCGGGTCGAAGTTTTCTCTAAAGCACCAGATTGAAACATTAAAACATCCAAAACTAAGTCAAGAAAAGTATTTGTTGTATCCCACTATAGGATGAACATGTACCAAACTAAGACATGCGGCTACTGAACTGTCATTTGCCCTAACTTTGCATCTGGCTGCGAAACGTGGCCACTTAGAGTCGAGAACATTACACTGCTGGAAGTCTTTGATTACTGGCGTCTACGTCGCATAAAGAAAGTAAGATGGTAGGACCAAATTTCCAACGAAGATATCCGCCAAAGTTGCATCAACACAGAAAGCCCACATGCTTTCCTGAAATGAAGACCTCCACAGTGGCTTGGCTACATCCTTAGAAGGGAGTCGACGGCACTCATAACGCTATGTCTTGCACTAACAACCTGTCCGACGCTATCATCCTTGAGAACAACTGAACACTTGAATACCCACAAGCCCAACTGACATGTAGCGTGTGATATGTCGCCCGGAACTGGAATCTTCATCGGATCGAAATCTGTGCTCATTTGTCCTTCGATCGCTCTGTCTGGGAGGCCACAGTCGGAGGCATCCATGAAACCTAATTAATCTCCACTTGAAAGTTAGCCGCTTGAAAATAAACGTGAATAAATACTTGACACGTTTTGAACGTTTCAGAATCTATGCAACCTAACGAGCTGCACAGGAAGGATAACGTAGGAGAGTAATCTAACAATGCACGATAGTTCCATGGAAAGAAAACAAACCATAACACGGTACGGGCAATTGATAGGTAGTAGTCGACTACTTTTGACTACTTATTTACACCTCCGGTAGGAAGAAGTACTACATTGGTTGGAAAATCTGTCCAATGGATGTGCCCTTATATGAATAAGCAAGGAAACCGTATACGATTTCCCTCAGGAACTTTTTGTTCAGATTTTATGTTGGCAATTCGCTTTCCCCTCAACAAAAATCATAAGTTTGTTGGTTATCATTGCAATGAATCCAATGGGCGCATACATCTGAATTCCGTCCTCTTGAGTGGGATCTTGAGTACCACCTAATGACAAAGAATTTAAATGCTGTTGTTTTACTGTCGCCTGGGAATAAATAATAAGTTTAATTATTTTAATCAGTTCACTTTTTAACACCATTACCCCGTACTTTCGTGCGCCGGTTTCGGTGGCTGTCTTTTGGTTGCCCATTTGGATAAAAGAGCGAAATGAAGATTGGAATGTCGATGCAAATTTAAGCGGAAGATGGGGAATACATATAGAGTGGTGTTAGGAAAATAACAAGTGGATGCACGAGCGCCACTGTTTGCGACACCCAGCCATACCATTCGGTGTCTCTAAACATCGGGGACCATCATCCCGAAGTCCCCAGCCAGGGAGCCTAACGGGGTCTATGTGACCTAGTCTCCTGGTTAGGGTTTTCATACCCTCATGCCAGGTCTTATTTTGACCACCCTTGATCTTTTCCCATCCGCTACCAGCCTTGGCAAACATCGCTCGCCGTGGCAACCTATCTGGTGACATGCGTAGCACATGTCCCAACCAGCGTAATCCATGGAGGTCGATCACTTGTTCCAGTGGACGACCGCGAATGACCAAAACTCTACGCCTAACCTCAGCATTGCCCGTCCGGTTAACCCACCAGACACGTGCAATGCTACGTAGACAGCGGTGTTCAAACACCGACAATCTATTTTTATCCTGTTCCCGTAGAGGCCAAGTCTCTGCACCATAGAGCAGGACTAGTCGAACTGCTGCAGCATACACTCGACCCTTCACAGACAGCTTCGTAAAGCAGTGGAAAACGCACGTATCA